TCGATCTTTCGTCACTCATATCCGCCCTCTCCACTCATCTCCCTCAGCCTACTCAGCCCGCATCCTCACCCAGTCCAGCTCCCGTCCCCGCCTCTCCCATGGCAACTCCCAGTTACCGAATCATGATCCTTGGGTCAAATGAATCTACCCTGTTGGGACAACCTCATGCTGTAGGCGCTTCTCCTGCCGCATCAGGTTTCCATCCCACTACCTCTCAGTTAGTTACTCCCCAGGCCATCGCTGTCGGTGCTCCCGGCTACGATGCTCCAGCCGCCCAAGCCCCCAATTCACCTGATGTTGCCAGCTATCATGGTCTCCCATTTCCCGGTTCCCCCCCGAGGATGACAATGTGCAAGGGTTTAGCCCATTCCGTCCTTCGAATAATAGGGTTTCCCAGAGACAGGCCATCCCAGCCACCCACATCCCTGCTCTATCAACAGTGGAAGGGGCTCTACCGATGTATGTTACTTTCAACCCATCCCAAGTTGCAACCCTAGTAACCTCTCTCCCCTGAGAAACAGCCCATGCCCTTCTTCCGGAGGATTGCCCAGGTTCGTAAGACATACTCAGCAGCCTGGCGTGATCTGTATAGTCTGTGTGAGATCAAGGCTGGGGATGCCTATTGGCCCATCATGGAAAGGAGTTTTAATGATGCTGTCCTCGGGTATTACATTCTGTGAACAACTTCGGGCCTGGGCCCAGAATAAACTAGCTGACCAAGCCACTTGTATAAATGATATTATACAAGACAAACTCGAATCTGTGGAAAAATACCATTCAAGGTTGACTCAAACTTTCTCCGATCTCGGATTCAGTGTATATAACAAAGCACATACCCAGATGTTATTCGCTGCCTTTGTGGCTGGCCTTAAGGAACCCATCAGGAAAGGCTTAGCGCTTTCTCGCCCCGAATACAGAATTATTCCTTTGGACACTCTCTTGCTAGTTGCAAAGGGCCTAGAATCTGTTCTACAGCCACCCCAAAGGAAAAGTAATCATCTCATGTTTTCCTCTTCTAGCCCTGCTACCAGACCCGCCCAGGTACCCCAAAGTTATCCCACATTATCTACCCTGCCAGCTGCACAGGGGCAGCACATGACACCTAGGCCTCAGACCAGGGCATGCTTTAATTGTAACCAACCAGGCCATTTCCGGAGAGATTGCCCACACCCAAGGGTGCCTAGACAGCCGACCACTAGACCCCCTATGTACCCCAGTGACCCTGCGGCCGCGTATGGTGGTCTCCAACAAGGTTACCCTCCACAGGTGTATCCTCAGACACATGCACGTATTACCTTCCTCAGGATTACGTCCAGGCCGTCTATCAACCCTCTCAACTTAATACTCACCCACCCCGTAATTATGCTCACCTTTCCCCTGATAGTTACGATACAGATGATTTCTAACAAGATGATCACCCAGCACCGAGTCATTATTGCCCTACACGTCAAAACCATCAGGCAAGCCACTCCACTACACCAGCACGTCATTACACTGGCCCTGATCAATCTCATCTAGACCTTGTACAATAGGTAACCGGCAAATCTGTGTCCGACACCCCTGTCATGGCAGTGTCTACAGGGGACAAGGGGGGACCCCTAGCTACAGTTGTATTACCAGTTGAGGGTCATCCCACTACCTTCTTAGTTGAC